TCGTTGTGTTTTGACTTCAAGCACTAGATAAAATACTGATCTATCGTTAGCTAAACATCCAAACTATGAAAAAAAAGGAAACAATTAGGTCTAATCTGGAAATATAATCACTATTGCTAAGATATTTAATTTCAAAATTCAAAATATGAATTTTTGATCAAGTCAAAATATGAATTTTTGTTAATTACGTTCTTGATTTTCTTGTATTTATTTTTCTCTACTGACTATCTATCGTTTTCGATTATATCAGGTGAAGTATAATATTACTAGTTTCAAACTTACTGAAACTTTCCTATTCGATTTTCATTAAAATTTATTCATAATTATCATAACATCTCATCAAACCACTTAAGTCATGAAATATAATGTCAAAGCAATAAGAGTTCACGTAAATTAGAAAGTTATTTGAATGACGATAGTTATAGTTAATAGCAACTAAATTTCTAGATTAGATCTAAAAAAGTAAATAGAAAACGTCCATTTTGACCTTATTTACTCTTTTAGATTTCTGTCATAGTTGATTTTGATAACAGAAATGGAAGAAGTGTTGAATTCGGGACTGACGTGACATTCCTTACTTAATTTTTTTGCTAAATGATTTGCCATTCTCGTATTCTTTCGTTGCTAGTTTTAGAACAAACATTTTTTGACGTATTCCAAATTTCTGATACATTATTGTATTTGATGGAATTAAGCGTGAAACTGTCGTAAAAAATTTCAGTCTCTCAAGCATGCAATAAGCGTGTAGTGAAATGATGTAAAAGTTTAATTTCCATTTCGTTGATTACAAAGTTATATCAGTTGTGCTGTTTTGAGTGATAAAATTAATCTACCATAAAAATTTTGAAGGAATTATAATGGCTGTACAAGAGAGAGTGCAAGGGCACTTAATACAAAAAATTAATTAAAAAATATTATAATTATTAGAATCCATAAAAATTTCCGTTCACGAACTCACTTTTTGTTTCGTCTTTATTGGCTACATAATGCACAATTTTTGCATACTGTAAGGAGAGAATAAATGAAACTTGAAGGAAAACAATTTCACAAAACATCATAAATTTCATAAAATGGAACAAAAAATGCCAAATTTCAAATTTCACATAATAGAAAAGTAATATCAGTGTATCATATTTTCAATGCAAATTTATCTCAAAGATTTCAGTTGATCAAGCACTAGTGCCATATTCTAATGGTCACGAGTCATTTCCACAAAGAGCAGGAAGTGATCCAGATGTAACTTATGGCGCTGCTGTCGCTCCCGGTGGCGGTACTGGCGGTGAGGCACCTTGTTCTGGTATGTAAATTGCCCATTCGATTTCAGAACTGGAAGTAAACAGCATTCTATAAAAGATCTGCTCAAAATTCTCATTAAGTTAGCTGAGTTATATTTTGCTCTGCTAAGAATCTACCATTACCTCACATGACTCCGGGAAATCCCATGATGCGAAGTTTCAGTTTCTAAAATTTTTTAATGAAGAATAATCTTGAAGGAACACTTCTAGAAGACGAACAAAAAATATTAAAAAGTCTGTAAGCAGTAGAAACTGAAGCTTAAAAACTGTGTAGTTAATCTTTTCAGTATATTTGAAACGATTTAGAAAATCCCTCCAATCATATCTTATGCAGAAGCCGACTTCAATTAATTTTTCCATTGATTATTGGAACTAATAAATTTCTTGCCAAAAAGTGCTATCAGTAATTTGAGATATAATGTTGTACAGCTATTTCTTGCAGTGTTTTTCCATTTTAAAAAGAATGTTTTTCAGTGGTAGTAACTTTTAGTAATAAAAAACTACTGATGTATATAAAAAATCGGAATACAGACTTTGAAGCATTAAAAAGTTCCGTAAAATTCAAGAAAATTAAGCTGCTTGTTTCCAGGAACGTATCAGGGCATGTTACCACCACAATTTCGTGGTGCGCCTCTGCCATTACCCCACATGATTCCGGGAAATCCCATGATGCGACCTCTCATGCTTGTGCCATTTCCTCCACCACCACCACACATGTTACCACCGGTTCACCACCGTTTATTGCCAATGATACCAGCTCCACCATCTAATTTTGGTTTACTTTCCTCTCCAGAAAATAATTTTATTGAAAAACAATTAAATTATCATTATGCAGTTAAATAAATTCTTGATTGTATATGCTTTATATATAAAGTATATAAAGCATATATATATATATATATCAATATTTTTATATACTTGCTTACCTTTGCACATACTATTAAAATTTTCTTTTATCAGGTTTGTTACCACACTTACATCCTGGTTATTATCCATTTCCACCGGCCCCAACACATTTTGGTTTTTCCCCACCGCGATTTATGTCACCTTATGGACCTCTGCTAGCACCAATGGGACGACCGAGAAGCCCACCTGATGGGCCAATTATTACTGGTCCAGAGTCAGTTTATGGTACTTTACCGAGAAGACCTGCTTATGAAGAACCTATTTACATGCCTGGAAATGTACCTCATATACCACCACAAGCAAGCTATCAACCTGGAAATTACTCTACTGATCATTACGATGCGTATTATGACTCGTTCAAGAGGCAACGAAATCCATGCCATAATAATAAGGTTAGTCTGATTTTCAAGGGAAGTAAGACAAATATGAAGTGGCATCTCGATTCACTTCTGGAATGTACAAAACTTTCTTTTTACGATCTGCTTTTATCATATCAAGCCTTATTATCTGTTTATTTATTTTAGCAGTTTTAGTGATAATAATAGATCAATTCCATTACTGGGGTAAAAAGGTTCATTTAATATTCTGCTCTGAAGCAGTTAGCTACGATAATTAAGTAATTTCAAGGACGATATTACAGGGATCAGCTGTTGCTGAGTCTCAAGCAAGTTCAAGAAAAGCTATGCCTACTGCGGAGAACGAAGAATCATCTCAGTTTTGGGATTCTTATGAGGCTAGCGTATATCGAAAACCTCATTTGAATGAAAAGGTCCAAATTTTAAGTCATTCATGAGTTTTTTCAATTGACTGAAATTTCCTAGCTGTTTGTAGTAAATTTTATCCAAGATATTAAAACATTTCATTCGAAGCAAGGAAAACTTCTTATTTAAAGTTGAAGAAGCTGAATTGCTTTCCAAATTGATTGAAATAGCAGATGATTCCAAAAACTTAGAGGACATAAATTGGAGTAGAACATATTATTAGCTGTAAGAAATATTGATATGAAAGTCCGTAGAAATTTAAACTAGTCCATATATTACTAAGTCTGTAAATGAGTTT